GGGGAATAGTATGGTCCTCTCCATCCTGGACACAGCGGGTATGCAGTGTCTCCATCGTCCCCCATGTCCCTGGGTGCAGGGAGCCATCCCTGGGGTGATGCTGAGCACGGGGATGGATCCCCCCCCATCTCTCTCCGTGCCACCCACATGCCCTGATCCCTGCCCTGACCCACTGGGGAGCAGAGCCTGGATGCCAGTGAGTGATTGCAGAGCTCAGGCCTTTATTTCCAGCAGTGGTGCCACACAAGGACAGCAGGATCTGGCCCGCCACGAGGCGGGAAGTGTGGCAAAGCATGGAGGTCGCTGCAGGGCCTGGGCAGAAGGATGCTGGCAGAGAGACAGGCTTTGCTCCTGATCTTCGCAGGGCACCTGGGGAGGAGATGACCAAGGGCTGGACAGCAGCAGAGCCAGTACCCATCGTGGAGAAACCTCGGGACAGGAGAATGCTTGAGACACCAGACACATCCATGCTTTCCAGGAGGCTGGAGAGTCTTGGGCTCCAGTCTGGTCTTGGGTGCTGGGAAAAGAGCCGGGGCCAGGAGTTGGGCAGGCTTGGAGTTGTCCCTTCACGTCGGCAGGGATAGGGTTGGTGGCACTACCCAGGGTGGTGAGACCCCCTTGTGCCCTTCTCTGCTGCAGCCATGATGAGCTGTCTGAGCCGCTCGGCACCATCCACGGAGGGTCCAGGCTGGTGGAGCAGCAACACCGGAGCTCTGGGCTGAGCCAAAATAGAGGAAAATCTCCCATGGCTAAAACCCTCCTGCAAGTCTGGGTCTAGCAAGTCTCCAGCCTGCCTTGGCGCTGGGGTGGTAACAGGCTCCATGGCCAGGACACACTGGCTCAGAGGGCTGCCTGGAGACTCAGGGAAACCCAAATATCTCTGCAGTCCCAACGGAGACACGGACTCACCCCAGCTGCAGACTCCTGTCCTTTGCCCCACATCTCCTCTTTCTCCTGCAGGCAACAGGCCAGGCCTGAGCAGCCCTCAATTCCTGCCTCAGCAGGCCAGCAAAATAGCTACGGGTTGATTTTCTCCTGACCCAGCTCTCCCAGGACTGGTGCTTGCAGGGGATGGTCCGCTTAGTGAGGCAAGAGCAGAGGAGGATGGCACATATCCAGACCGTCCCCAACACAGGGCAAGGTGCTGCACGTAGGGGATGCCATGTGTCATCTCTGTTCTCCCCACGTGCAGCCTCAGAGATGTCCGGTGTGGTCCATACAGACGTCCCCCCAGCAGGGAGCAGGCTGTGGGGTGCAGTGTCAGGCACACTTGCCCTTCCGAAGGCAGAAGGGCAGCTCCGGCATGGGGACCAGGATGGTGCTGAAGATGGGCCGGTAGCTCTCGGGTGGGACCTGGGGGTGCTGCGCCATCATTTCCAGCACCATGTGCCGCACCTCCTTGGAGACATCGCCCCGGAGATCCAACAAGGTGGAGATATGCTCATCACTGGGCAGAGAGCAAGAGGGGAGTCTGGGCGCTGCTGGGCCACGGCACTGTCCCCAGTGCTCGTGTCCTGCAAACCTCCCATGATCTAGAGAAGCTGAGCTGAGGCCAGGGGAGAGCTGGTACTTTGCACCAGCCAGACTTTAAAATTTGCTTGAAAATAACCCCACAAACCTTTGGTTTTGACATTTCATGGCTTTCGGCCAATTCTGACATTTCCAATTTGGTGTTTTGTGATTTCTCACATTTTGTTTGGCCACCAAATACAGATGGGTGAATGCCACAGCAGAACTGCTTTTTCCTTTCCATCTTTGTCCTTGGGACTTGCAAGGTCCCCTCAAATCTAGAGCATGGGAAAAGGAAACCTCAGGGAGAAGGGGGGAAAAAGCTCAGGTTTCTGTCTGCTCTGCACCGTAACCTCACGGAGTCCAGCCCCAGCCTGCATCCCCTGAGCAGACTCATGCCTACCCCATCTCATGGGAAAGCAGAGCTGGGCTTCCTACCTGACGTCGGGGTACTTGGTGATGAAGCCCAGCACCTCCAGGCTGAGTAGTGCTGGGTCTTTAAGGCAGATCAGCTCGCTCAGGGCAAAGACAGCCTCCAGGCTCTGCTGGCTCTGGTCTAGACCCTGGGAGAGAGAGCGGCCACATGTGAGACTGGGAGGAGGCCATGCCGGTGGCTGCTGAGATGCAGCCTGGCCCTCAGTGCCCACATGGGGACCTGGCACCTTGCAGCTGGCGTCTCCCCACTTGGTGTGTCCCGGCGATCAGGGCCAGCTCACCCCTAGGTGAGCTGAGGCTGTGCAGCCTCACCGACCTCCACTGGGCAGGGTGGATGGTCCCGAGTCCCTAATCCGGCCAGTTCCTCCCGTCTTGGCCTCACAACTGCCCAAGTGTAACAGCCATGTCTTGTTCGTGGGCTGACGTACCCACCCCATCTGCTGTGGGCTGGAGGGGAGCAGGAGGGGGCTGGAGGTGAGCTATGAGCTCCTTGCACTGCCCTTGCTGTGGGATGCTCCCCTCCCGTGGCCCAGCCCCAGCTCCCCACCGCAGCCAGGCACCTCTCACCAGGCCACAGAAGAGCTCCCGGAGCTGCGTGGCATCCTGCAGCAGGCGGTCGCAGAGCTGGCCCCGCTCCTCCTCGCTCTTGCACACCATCTTCTTCTGCATGAGTGCCCGCAGGTACTGGCTGACCACCAGCAGCTCGCTCTCCATCAGCAGGAGCTGGGCAGGGGAGAGCTGTTAGCGCTGGGCATCGCCTGGGTGTTGGACCCCAACTGCCCAGGGAAAGGCAGAGGGGAAAGGGGGCTGGATATAACATTGAGAAATGGTGACAACCTGCTGGGAAGCCTCCTGGCCAGAGGGACAGGAAAAGTAGCTGAATTTGGGGGGAATCCTGAACATCTCTGCGTGGCAGTGCCCTCTGGGCTGCTCTGGAGGATACCGGCTCTCTGGCAAACCCAGCAGCGACTGCATCCCCTGCATCCTGCACCCCAGCATGGCACCCAACTGCCCAACCTCCTCACCCTACAGGCAAGCAGCCACTCGAAGGACACCCCGCAGCAACCGTACCGTGAAGATGGGTTTCCTGACATGGGCGAAGTCCTTTGCATACTTGTCAATCACTTCACACATGCTGCTGACCAGCTGGGACCCAGCCAGCCACTTGTGGGAAGGCAGCTGCAGGCAGAAGGGCTGAAAAAAGCAGAGGAGCAGTGTACGGTGCTCAGTATTGCATCGCCCTCACAGCACCTGCCAGCTGCGAGGCAGCACGATATCCCCCAGCC